CTCCAATGTCCCTTAATTGAGGAATATACCTTTAATCTTATTTGGGGTTTAGGGTTCCTATTATTTTTTTAATTAAGGGATATACCTTATATCTTATTAGGGTTCCTATTATGATGTCAGGTATATGCCTTAATTAAGGAATATACCTTTAATCTTATTTGGGGTTTAGGGTTTGGGGTTTAGGGTTTAAGGGTTTAGGGTTTAGGGATGTACCTGAAATCTTATTAGGGTTCCTATTATATATAAGGTATATGCCTTAATTAAGGGATCTTGGAGTCTCTGGGCAGGGGAGGAGCCCGCGGCGCTGCAACTGTCGTCCATGCAGTGATCCGCCAGTTTAGGGGTTCAGGGGGTTTTAGGGGTTTAGGGGTTTAGGGTTTAGGGTTTAGGGTTTAGGGTTTAGGGTTTAGGGAGGAGCTTGAGCGCTTCTACGTCGGAGGGGGCGAGGAGCCAGAGGACTTCTTTATCGGAGAGGAGGATGGTCAGGGAGAGAATGACGAGGGCGACGAGCAGGCGTGCCCGGGTCTCGACATGTGGGCGGCGGAGGTCATAATGGACTTCGATGGCGGGGCACCTGCTTGCCCGACGTCGAGTCGCAGCTGGGCTGCTGAAGGTGAGTGCTGACCTTGCCCAAAGTTTCACCTTAATAGAAGTTGTACCGAAGTTTAATAGAGAACTTCTACAGGGCTTGCGGTGTACTTAAAGCGTCATGCGACTTAGTAATTGGGTAAGCTATACTTGCAGTTACTTATGACTCATGACCCAAACAAAGTGCTTATAGCCGTACTTGCTAAGCTCCTTGATCCCCCAAGTAGGGTCCAGATTCTACCCTGGAACTACAATAGGTGGGACATCGGGAGAGTTCATGATTGTTTTCTCTACTTTGGGGTTGAATTTTAAGGTAAGCTGCTGTACGAATTCTGTTTTGCAGGGTTTGCAGGCCCAACCCTAAACCCAAAACCCTTTGCAAGCATTCCGATTGGTTTCATTTTCATTTTCTTATTTTTGTTGCCCGGATGTGCACCCCAGCAAGCCCGAAACTGAAAGTTCCGGTCTCAACTTCTGCGCGGCTCAGGGCATTCTCAAAGGATCGGGCTTCCGCCCTTTGGATACCCCAAGAAAACCGTAAGACTCCTAGAGTCCCCACAAAAATACGGTTGATGATACATATATATACATATATAATATTATATAGTATCTATATATATATATATTATATATTATAGATTATAGATTATATATTATATATTATATCATATATATATATATTTATTATATTATATTTTTTATATTATATTATACTTTTTTGTATATTATATATTATATGTTATAATATATTATAAATATTATATATTATATTAAATTTTTGTTATATATTATAGATATATTGTTTGTATAACACAATATACAACATGTAACGTATTATGCATATACTTTATACTATATAGTGTACTATGTATAATATATATGTATACATATGTATATATACTATACTATACGATAAAACAGAATATGAACATATAACGGTCGAAGAAGCCAAGGACTGCAGCCGTCCTGGGCAGCTTCACCCTTATCGCCGTGAAGCCTGGCAGCATTCGGTACAAAGATTAGGGCTTATCAGGTGTCATTTGCATCTAATTCTGACCGGCGCCAGTTCGCAAGTTGGGCTCAAGAATTGTCCACAGTCGCATTCAAGTCCATGCGAAGCTTGCAGATGCGAAGCCGAAGGAGCCGCTGGCAAGCGCCGACGTGTCCTCCAGGTATGTTCTTTGTAGCTCCACGCCAACGCCACGGTGGTGACGTCCTGGCGAAGAAATCCATGCACATGGGTACTGGTGTGGCTTTCATTCAGGACCAGACTGCACCTCTTATTCGACAGCTCGAAGCAACATCACAGCACTCAAGTTTCTAGCGGACTCCGGTTTATCCAGGACATTGTTCTCATCATGACAGAGCGCCGCGGAACGGGATGTCGGATGACAAGCAAGCCCGTGGTTGAGAAAGGAATGCATCGACAACGTGCTCGGAACAAGGAGTACTTCATAGGTGACGACCTGGACAGTTGTACGAACCACTTGCACACCTGCTTCGAGTGGCAGTCGTACGAGGTTTAATAGCCTGAGCTATGAAGAGTCGCCGGTGCATGGCAGCTTTCAAGGCGAAGCTAAACGCGTTAAATGCCAACGTGGAAAGATTCTCTTCATTTTTCAAAGGGTGGGGGAAGGGTTCAAACAGTTTCCTCAAGCCCAAGCCCGTAAAGTCTGCCATGGGTATTCGTGCAGCGTCACGTCCACACCACGCACGTGCAGTAAAATCAAGTGGCTGGAGACAGCAGAGTTTCACAGGACCGACGCTAGAACTGAGCGAAAAAACTGCTTGCTGTCGTGCTGTTTCAGGGCATCTTTACCCAGAAAGATTTTTGGTGTTCCGATGTCGTAGCAGCGGCGCTGAGGCTGATGGATGTGTTTTCCGGACTACGCAGGCAGGAATGAGCCGTGACCGTAGCGGACTCCCTCTAAGCTGTCAGGAACAGCTCGACTCAGTTGCTCCAAGATTACATCGTGTTTGCAGCTGCGTTCATCTTCGCTGGCTTTGCGAACAAATGGACGATGACTCCTCCACTGCTTCACAAGATGATGCTTGGATGCACAGCAACTGGACATTTCCAATCTGACTTCGATCTGAAGCTGCTTTTGCTCGCCGGCGGAAGGATCGCGTTTCAAGTCTGCCTCGGAGCTCTGCACACAGTACTGTCTGATTCGACATCGGTGATCATGATGTCCTGGCCTTAGAGAACTTGATGCAAGAACCAAGAGCATTGGACCTCAGTCTTCCGTACAGGATGCCACTCAATGCGATGCTTCGGCTCTCTGCATCGTCGATGCTTCTTTCGGAGCGCCTGATTCTCAGCATGCCCTCGTGGTGCACAGCAAGCAACAAAGGGCTTACGATGGCCAGAAGCTGCCACATTTCGCCTGAGGATTTGCAGTCATCACCAATGCTGTCGCCAGCATGGTGCAGCTCATCAGGTTCTTGCTTCCCGGCTTCGCAAAACTATGTGTCAGTCCCTTCTCGAAGCATCGTGAGCCGTGAGCTCCACTTTTCGATGTCAGGTTTCGACAAGACGAGCTCATCACTCTGCCTACGACTCACCACTTGACCCAGTGCGAAGCTTGGCAATTGCTCCGTTGAAGCTGCACGCCAGGTCACGACAGGAGAACTGGCTTCCCATCATTGTCATTCTGGAACTAGGCTGTCCTGCAAGCTTCTGACACAGGGACGTCATTGACACGTCTTCAATGTCAGTTGGAAGGCACCAGCCTGATGTCCTTGATCCCAATCGTGGTGCTGAAGTCGAGCTTTGCTGAGCAGCTGTCGACCCCTCCGGTGGAAGTCAGGTGCCAAGGTGCCAAGGTTTTTCAAGAGCAGGAGTCGTAGGTCCTAGGACTCTAGGACCCATCAGCCTGGCTCCAGACGAGGACACGAGCCAGTTCTTTCAGGAGCAGTCCGCCGCCAGACGAATGCTCGCCGTCCTCTGCGATGCCCAGGCAGAGCTCTTCCTAAGCCCTAAACCCTAAGCCCTAAACTCAAACCCTGAACATCCCTAAACCCTAAACCCTAAAGCCTAAATCCCAAAGTTCTTCTTTTTCGTGTCACTCTCAGGTCCTGCTCGGGCCAGATCTGAAGATCATCTCCCACGACCGAGGCGGGCGAAGAGAGGTAAAACTCTGATATAATGTAGAACATGCATTATATAATATGCATTAGATAATATAGAATATACGGTATACATATACTATAACATAAGATAAGATAACATAATATAATATAATATAACATGATATGATATGATATAACATAATATAACATATTATAACATGACAAAATATAATATAACATAATATGATATACATATAATATATAATATAGTACAATATATTATAGTATAATAGGATTTGATTTGATATGATATAAGATAAGATGAGATATGATAATGCAAGATCATGTAAGATAATATATGATATGAAATACAACATATCGTATATACCATACGGATAAAAGTAGGAAAGAATGCTCCCACTGAGCCAGGCCTGGCTCAGCTGCTGATGAGCAGCTGCTCGCCACTCGAAGGCTGCGAAGGTTTTGACGATTTCGTCTCGTTGCTCGGCTCTGCGGTTGCCCTTGTCAGGACGGGCCTTTGTGGATTTTATGGCGCCTCGTGACATCCACCGCTTCAAAGCATTCATCGAATCTGCAGTCAAGGATTCCGGGGTTGTGGACACATTTTTGCGCTTCAGTTGGTCACCATCAGTTGCTTCAGACACAGGTTGCTGCTGCCACAGGCCTGGTTTTTTGCATGACATTCCCGGAAGCGGTCTTGTCACATGCGAGTCATGTCTGCAGAGGTCTAGATGCCAGTCTTCACAAATCTGTGACACGAAGGCAGTCCCAAAGCCCGACCTACTTTCAGTAGTGCATTCGAGAGATGGAGTCAAAGGTTCCCAAGCCTCGCCACGAGCTTCCAGGCCCTATGTGCCACCTCCAACTTCCCTCCTCGTTCACATCACAGACAGAACAGAACTCAGAGCGATTGACAATTTGTTCCTTGCGAAGCAAAGCAGATGTCTCAGCTCGGTCAGGTCATGGGCTACTGGTTGCGGTGGAGCTTTTTCACATCTGTGTGCCAGGTGAACTCCTCAAGGCAACAACAGGGGCACGGTCCTGCCATGTGTCGCCCGAGGTCCGACTGGAGAGCGGGCCCACTTCATTGGAATCTCCGAGGCTACCTCGGAGCCCAGGGGTCGAAGGGAAGCCAAAAAAAAGCTGCCACACACAGGCAGAGAGCAATCGATCAGCGACGGCATCCAACTCAGACACAGGGTCAGCTAGCGTGCCCGACGCCCGGCTGGGAAGCGCTTAGCATACCCTTTGCAACACCTGGCATTTCTGATTCCAGAGCCGCGACATCGCATTCATTTCTCCACTTACCAAAGTGCAGGCGCTCATCACATCGCACGCCACCGCCCACCACCTGCCGACACCTCGAAGACTCCGAGGACGCCACGGGAAGCTGAGGTCTAGACTGTGGACTGCGTTGTTTAAGCGCTTTGGAGCAGAGTGAACCTTTATCAAGGAGGTCATGACTCTCAAGACCTTGCAGCGACAGCAGGCCGGGGCCCACAGAGAGGCGGACACAGGAGACGCACCGAGCCATTAAACAGACAGGCCCAGCAACGACAGTCAGAAACAGAGGCAGAGGCAAACCTTGCAGAGCGAGTTTTCGAGCCTTCCAAACATCCAACATCCTTTGTTCGCCAGAGGCCCACTCCATCAGCTCGCTCGGCTGCCAGCAAAAAAATCGTTTGCAAAAACAAAGGGGAGAGTAGAGCACAAAGTCACAAGGAAGGGGAGAAGGGCCGAGGTTTCACCGAATTGCAACAGCGATGAAACCCTGGACGACATGGACAGGGTTGAGCCGTCTTTTGTTCGGGCTTGTTGTTGTGAACCACAGCCACAGGGGTGTGTTTGCATGTTGTATGCAGGTTCAATCCAGTCAATGTCCTGTGACATTCAGGCAGCTGCCCGCTCGGGCGACGGCTTCTTCCATCCCGATTTTCAAGGAGAGACCGAACACCATAGCAACAACAGCACTAAGCAGCCAAACCCTGCCAGAAGATGACGGACGCGACGGGAGGGAGTCGATTGCTTCTTCGGCATCCAGCGACTCTTCCATAACTTCCGCCGCTGGCCTTCGCAATGCAGCATCGGCACCGGAGAGCCTTGCCGTGGTTTTGGCACGAGCTGTGTTTGATTGGTCCAAACAAAGCTCCAACACCAGCTGAAGCTCGAAAAGATTCAACCTATAGATTTCGGCAGAAATCACCACACGCATGTGGTGGGCCCGCAAGCTTACGGCTCAACGAGGCTGGACTTCGCGGAGATTTCCGTCGACCCCTTCTGTGACACCTTGTCCATATACAAGGCTGTGTGCTCCGGGTTTCTCTTGCACCTGTGATGCCAGCAAGCAGGCCGACTTCGTTTTTCGAGCTGGCAAAGCACGAGGAAGGCACGAAAAGAGGTTTACCAGGGACGATCGGGGACGCGGATCTTGTATCTGAGGCCTTCGCTTCTGGAATGGTTGCGACCAGGAACAAGAAAGAAGTGCCATTCCTCCATCTGCCATGCTGCAGCTTGTCTGGGAAGCTTGGGTGATCCGCGCGTGGTTGTGCAACCTTGGTTACCAAGGTAAATCTCGTCTTCGCGCCACCTGGGAGCAAAGCTGATGCAGCGAAGTCCAAGTACAGGTTGTTGAGGGATTCTGCAAGCCCCCAAAACCGTGTTGTCGCATCGCAGTCTGTCCAACCACCGCTTTGGCTGGAGGTTGGATCCCATCACACTCCAACTCCCTTCTGGGAGGCAACCCTTGGCACTTATCGCTCCTTGGATGTCCTCATGAAAGCCTGCATTGTCCGTCATCTCCCACAATTCATGGTGCAGGGTGCTTTAGGTAATGCAGGTTCATTTCTGTCCACTGGCTCTCAGGCCCAAAACGTGGAGCTGCTACTGGACGAAGCAGCGGAGCGAGACTCCGCTGAAACGGCGGGGACCTCAAAGTTGCTGGTTTTGACCAGAGGAGCGCAATGTCCCACGAGGACTGAGCCGGGATGTGTAAAAGATGTGATGCTAAGGTCTTGCAGAAGCGAGACGCACCTCTTCTGATCAAGCTGCAACTCTCCGACATCATGGTGAAGCGGCTGGATCGCCTTGGGGCATCCAAGTCACAGAAACTGCGAGAACTTGAGGAGCTTGCAAAAGCCACTCGGCCCAATTCAGGAGCATGTTCTGGGGAGCGGCCTCGTTGGACAGGCAAAGGCAGAGAGGATACGAGCGAGCTCCATGGAGACTTGGATGCATAGCTTGCTTGCTCCCTCAGCCCTGTCATGCGCTCTGCAGGGAGTCGGACGGAGGGTTTGAGTCCGATCCGACCCAAGGTAAGCGCGACTTTAAACGAAGCCTCGGAAGCCCTAAGCAACCCCAAGGCCTCAATTTTGCACTGCGCCCCGCGACGCTTCGGGGTGCAAGGTTGGCTAAAGTCTACAATATTAACCCAAAACTCAACATCCCAGTTCCTGAACCCCAAACTTATTGATCCCGGAACCTAAACCCCTAAAGCCCAAAGCTACAAGGTAACCTTTCAATCTCCGAAGGCACAAAAGCCTCAACTCCAAACCCCCAAAAAACCCCAAGCCCCCTAAAAACCGCTGGAAGGCGCAAGAAACTGTAGAATCCCTGTGGTATGGTAACCCCGGAGTTTCCTCTGCGCTTCTTGGTTTTTGTCAGGCTGGCACATTGCAGGCGGCAGAGAGGGACAAAAGCCTCGAGCCGATTCAGGAATTCTGTTGATTTGCGGAAGGGTTTACGCTAGGGGCTCTGCTATAGACCCTTGCAGTTTATGGTTTAGGGCATTAGGAGTTTTGAAATGTGGGGTCTCGGGGTGTCAGGATTTCGAGGATTTGACGCTAGGGCTTTAGGATTGGGGGGTTTCAGCATTTCGGGTTCAGTTGCACAGAATCCTTTCATAGTTGCAGTTCCAGGAGCGGCAACGGCTTCGCAGAACGAAGCAGCGACAGGAAGAAGGAGCGGAGGGGCACTGCTTTCGGGTACGGGGGACAGGTCCAGAAGAGTTTGCCCATGCAGGCTAGCCATGAGCAATTGCAGGGCTCTGGCGAAGGATGGGTCAGTCGCTGGGCAGAGTTGGTTTTTCTGACACTGATCGCCATTGGGAGACGAGTGCAAAACAGAGGTGCCCATGAGAAGGGGATGAAGTACCTCAAGTCACTGCAATGGCGGAGGCAATAAGTTTCGATCGTCCGTCTTGGAGCGGACGTGGACGGCAGTCAGCAGAAGTTTCAAGTTTCACCCCACCATGCTACCAGCATGCGACCACCCGGCTTTTAAAACACGTCCAGGCGTTGCAGCGTAGCGACTTTTCAAGTACTCGTTTTGCATAGAAGGTCTTCCTTACCCAGGATTTGGCTCAAGCCAGTCCCCCCGCCGAAATACAAGGGTCCACGCTCTTCTTCGGCAGTGTACTTGTCCGTACGCTTGTGTCCCGGCTGAAACTGGCCGCGCTGGACCCGTCTAGGATGTTTCTTAAGCAACTGGGCATTGTCACAGCTTAGGTGAATTCCAAACATTCGAGTTCCGCCTTTGCCTTGGTAAGAGCTTTGCAGACATGGAAGTGAGGGCTGGTGGTATCCCACAGCGATGAGCTTGAAAGCTGGAGGATGTTGATCTTCTTCGCTCTTCTTCTGGGACGACTTGTTTCGTCTATCCGAGACTTCTCCGCTCCGTGCTGAGCTGCAGACGCCTTTCGCCGGGACAGCGCTTCATCTGGTATTTAACGATCCTTCAGGTAAGTGACGAGCTGCAGAAGGACTTTGATGGAGACACACCAGACGGGTCTGCTACCGACTTTCTGTACACATCACGCCCAAGAGGGAGTGAAAGTGTTTCGAAACAGGAAACAGAGATCATAGGAATTCGGAAGAACCGTCCTTCGCCTCCACGCAGGTACGACGAGTTCTACACCCATTTCCATGTTACACCGGAGACGCACCGAGCGATCCTCGACGGCCACGGTGACACGGCACGCTGGGAAGGGCGATCCGGGAACGAACACCGCCTCCCCCCAATCGAAGCTGACGGTTTGGGTTGGATTCGAAGCCTCCAGAAGCCCTGGACCGTAAAAACTGAAAAACAGCGGGAGGCCGTCACCTTGTCCGTCGTCTTTGCCTTGCATCCGGCCGCCTCTGCTGACTCCTGAGAGTAGGAGGGGTCGTGAAGTACCCACTGATTGCTGAGACTTGGGTTTTGTGGTGTATTTCTGTTATACTGATGTGAGTTTATAGCGGAATGTAAAGCATATGATTAAGTGCTCATTATGGCAGCACAAGCCCTGGGCAGCAAGGTCATCGGCTTGACGTTGCCTCCCGGCTACCTTCTTCTGGACAGGGTTGTCGGCCAATGACAATGTGCAGACTTGTCAGAGGCTTCAGGTTGTACTTACACGTGATTCGACGACCAGCCTTGCACACTACCGCGAGTGAACAAGACCCATGCAAATTTCAATGCGCTCTGGCCGATGCCGTAGACTAGTAGAGGGAGCGTTTCCCAGGATTGCGGCTAACGCGGCTAGCCTGTGAACATATCTTTACTTGCTATGCAAGTGGAACACCTGCCCAGCTTAAGATCCGGCTCAGTTTGGGCTAAATCTCGTTTGCATCTGAGAGAAGGAGAGAGTGGTGAGCTTTTATTGGGAGCGGTTCTCTTCTGCAGGCTGTGGTTAAACATCTGCTGATCACTGTGTTGGGGTCGCGATGCCTGTGCACTCTGGCAGGATGCAGCTGGCAGTTTCCAGCCTGGATGCCCCCAGGCCAGACTGCAAGGCACTTCGCATTGAAGGGCGTTTGTGGGACTCCGCTTGGAGGTCTTTACCCCGCAGGACTTGAATCAGCTGGGTGCTCAGACACACTTTTTTCAAAGTTCTTGCACGCAGATTTAAGCCAGAGCTCGGTTACCTCCTTCCCACAGGAAGTCTGCTTATGCGAACGAGACACAGGCAGGTTTTCTCTGGACTGCACCGGCCACTTCTTGCAGATTCCATTTGGATCCGGCTCTAAGGCGAAGCCCTTGACTCCACATGTCATCAGTTGCGAGGTGGCTGACTGAGAGCAAAAGACTGCCAAACGCCAGCTGCACCTGGAAAACAACCGATTCTCGACAGCCAGGTCTACAACAAGCTGGATGATCAAATAGTTGCTGAAGGACTACGGGCTTTATCGCTGCAGTTAGTTGCAGCTGCTTTTCCCGGATCCTTTCTGGTTGCCAGCTCCTTCCAGGAAACGGAACTGAAGCCCAGCAGAAAGGCCGTAGAGCGACTGGCGAAGGGGGCCCTGTGATGCTGTTCGGCTTGTCAGATGCGGTGGTGGCTCTAACCCTGACGCTGGAGCCGGACTTGCCCGGACTCTCCAAGAAAGACTTAGCGCTGAGTGCTGAGAGCATGGGGCGCCAGTGGTAGGGAGGTGCTGTTGGATAAACAACCAATATCTGAGGGTGGATCATGGAAACGGTTCGCACGTGGTGCCCTTGTCCTGGTCCCGAGCTCGGCCGTGCAGAAGCCACCAGAACACCGCACAAGGATTTTTCCAGTGATTTTTTGCAACACATGGCCCAGGTGGTTCTTCCACATTCGCTGGCTTCTCAGTGGTTCCCCTTCCTGTTTGCCATGCTTGTCCCAACCTGTATGCACGTGCATGCTTGCGACTTCACAAATCCCCGTTCTCATACCGGAATAGTGCACTCTTTACTACAACTAGAAGACAATATGTAACTCTGAACCCTACACCCCGACAGTAACCCTCCCACCATGACCTGTACTGATGCGGTGTTCCCAGAGACTGTGAACAGCCGAACAAGGCCCAGAAATCCCGAAACCCTGAACCACAAAAAACTCATACCCTGAGCCCCAAGCGCTAAACTGTGAAATCTAAACCTTAACATCCTAGGCCCTAAATACGAAACTCCCGTACCTGGCACCAAAGCGCCAAGCCCTCAACCCTAAACGGCCGTAAACCTCGAATCGAACACATATTCCTGTTAGTTCCCTGGGCCCCAAACCCTACTGAACCCTAAACCCTAAACCCAAAGCCTTAAGCCCTAAACTCCCAATCTGGACAGACAGTGGGAGTGGGGGGCGAAGGGGAGCTCGGCCATCGATCCTTTCTCTCAGGTGTCCGCTATCCGGACCGATCCCCCGATCCCCAGGAGCTGGAAGTAGAGTTAGGGTTTAGGGTTGAGGGTTTAGGGTTGGGGATTGAGGTTTACAGGGGCTTAAGCGGCTTATGGGCTGATACAATTGGAAGAGTGGGTACCAGGGATTTAGAGTGGCAGAGAGGGTTCGGGCTTTGAGGCTTAACCTGGAGTCTTCGTCTTCAATCCGCCGACCTTCCAGGACAACAAGTTCCTTTTACATTGGGCTTCGGCTTCACAGCAAGACTGGGAAGGCGGCCCGTTCTTGTGGCCTAGCCTGTGCACCGCGCGTGTTGGGTTTCTGAGGTGAGACTGCCTTCCAATCATGGCCAGTGGGGTGCTAAGTCTTTCCATCATGTGCTTTCACAGAGCCAGAAATCGTCTATGGTCTGCAGATCCTGGGCGATTGGGATTGCGCCTACTCAGACTGGGAAGGCTGGAAGTTGCCCGTGATTCGCTGTGAGAGTATTCCCAGCTGCCTTGCTTTGTGGGAGGTTTCTGATTGCTTGTGTGTCTGACAGTTGCCTAGTACGTTCCAGCAAGTCGCACTCGATTGTCTCTTGAACTTTCATGTTTCGAAGTCTGCGGAAAACGGCTTGGCATAGTTGGCTGTTCATAAAAGTATGTCACCTGGTTAATGAAGAGAATGCCATGCAGTTGCTCGGCCTCTGCATACGAATGCACTGCTTAGTGCGCGTGTTCCTCAAAGCCCAATCTGATTCTCCAGAGATGTAAGGATTTCAACATTGCGGAATGCTTTGACCAATACTGAAAGCGTCTCTGAACGGAAGGGGATCGGTCTTCGCCTAATACTGATCTTGTCAGTACCATAAAAAGATCATCGGCGAAGTAGGTTGAGATTTTGGGATCTGTCTTGCCGCACGACGGGGCAGCTATCCCTCCTCCACATCCATATTTTGGTGGAGCTCCCATCCACTCCGCCCTAACTCCCTAAGCCCTACCCTAGCCCTCGGCATTTTTGCACCCATAACCTTAACCCCAAACCTTGTAGGCTATGTGCGATGAGGAGAGTTTCGATCGGGAATGCATCACAACAACTCTGTGACTTTGACAACATGGTGTCGGAGAAATTGGTGAACGAGCAGTTTTTAACTGAATGTGTCATATGTGCATCTACATGCATGAACTTAGAAGAAGAAGACATAAGAGTAGATAAAGGTACATATCGACAGAAGGAAGGATGGATGGATGGATGGGTACATAGATGGGTTGATAGGTACATAGGTGTGTGGTTCGGTAGGTAGGTAGATACGTAGATATGTAGATATGTACGCTTTCAATCATCTCCGTTGCAATGTACGTCCTCACGGTATTCGACACATCCCTGCCTTCCCTTCAAAGCTTCTGGGAGTTTTCTGCCTGTCTCAGGGTGGGGCTCCTGCTCTGCCCGCTGTGGCGGTGGAAACCGCATGCCCGGGCCATAGGACTACCGCGCCTAGCATTGCTAAACCCTCCAGTACATGTTAATATGTATATGTATATATATATACATATATATATATCTATCTATCTATCTATCTATCTATCTATCTATCTCTCTCTCTCTCTCTCTTTCTCTCTTGTTCTCTTTGAGTATCGCCTCATGTTGGCGGTGCCCAGGCTAGTCAGAAGGCCTTTGCAGCAGCCTCCCGGTGGCCAGGAGTGTGCCTTGTCGGCATCTTCGCGAGGTGATCTTTGCTGTGTTCATAGCTGATTTGAGTTTGCGCTTGCATCGAAGGCAATGAAATCCTTCATCCCAATCCAGGGCTGGGCGCTTGGATCTGTTAGGAGGAGGCTTGCATCCAACCTTCTGTGAACTAAGGAGGTGTAACGAGCATCCCTGTCTGTACTCCTGTGGTTACAAGGCCTTAGTTTCTGTGATTGGCTTTGGAGCTCCAGCCGAGACCAATGCCAGGAAGAGGTCATCGAAGGCGAGTGTTCGGCCTCTTGCGGTGGCGGAGTCAAGTTCACCCGGAAGAGGCCAAGGGGACAAGTTTCCTTGTTGCGTCAGTGCCTCCCTTGGTTGACATGACCTGGGTGGACCATGCAGAAGATGCAGCCTTTCTGCATGTCTTGTCGTGATCTTGTGCTGGGTGTCCTGAACGCTGCCCGGGCAGGTTCTTTATCGACGGCGACAACTTCCACCTTTGCCCGCAGATGGGGGTGGCTCGATTTAGTGGTAGCTTGATGCCGGCTGATGTCCTCGATATAATCTTGCATACTTAGGAGCGGTACTCTGAGCAGCTGGAGCCGTGCAATACACAGTGTTTGCCTCAGCTTTCCTGGCTCCCCGTGGCCTCAGCTCAGGTTACATTCAACAGATGCATGCAAAAAATTGGAAGGATCCCTTGTTGCTGCCGTTTTTTGTCTAAGGCCGTGCAAAGCTAGGCCGAAGCCACAGAGCTGGTTTCTGCTCAGATCTGCGAGTTGGTACCGTGATTCTGCAGGTGTGAGCATTCCAAGAAGTGGGAAGTGATCACACCCTGCGATGCGGCATGTGGCAAGGGTCACTTCATTGTCATGAAGCAGGCTTGATGGGACGAGGTGCAGGAAGAGTGGAGCTGTCAGTTTGCGACTCTAGGTGTTGCAGAAGGACATAGAGGATGAGGCGAGGCAATGTTTTCCGGCGACAAGTTTTCCTTTTGCTAGTTCCTGTCTGCAGAACTGCACTGCGGAGTGGAAGTGGCTGCCGTGCATCCAGCAGCACTGTACCTCGTGCCAGCCTCAGGCATGTGTATGATGAGCTTGGCTATACGTTCTTAACTTAGACCAAGTCACATCACGTTGCCCTGGGGACGAAGGTTTACGGTTTCTAGAATGGTGGCCAACTTGCAGCCGCATCCAGAAGAGAGGTCGTGCTGCAAAGCGCAATCACACGAGATAGGGTGCTGTACTGTGCGCAGACTGTGGTGGCTGGAGGATCAAAGTGCTGCTCAGCTGGGCCAATAAAGTTGAAACACGGAAGATCACCGTTCGTGCTCCTTTGGGATACAAAGTCCACCTCTGAGAAAACAGCAGCATGTGCTTCTGCCTGTTAGGCTCTTCAGTATTTGCTTTCCTGCTGCACTGAGTTCGGCGAGAAGCACGGAGATTGCAAGATCTTATTCCACAGCCTGCAGCCCCACTTCTTGAACTGCAAGGCCCTGGCACTTGATCGATTGACGCTAGGTTTCAGATCGATTGATGGCTGTTGAGTCAGGTGACTGATCAGCAGAACGAAGCAGACATCAACTTCCAGACACCGCTTCCCCCTGCAGAAACTCATGGTGCTCAGAATGGCACCATGAGTGGGAGGCGGGGATGCTGTGACGTGGTCTACAGCTTCCTTACTCTAGCCTGCACGATCCCCTAGCAAAGCCGTGGACCACCAAGCGGGACTTGAGCTTGGAGGTGACAGTCCGACTATACATACGTATACATATATATATA